CATGCAACGCTAAGACAATAATTCATTACTCTACAACAGAGAATTTTCCAACAAGCATCGATGTAGGCTGCCTCAATCAGAGATTCGGGTTTGTTTACTTGTTCTGGGGTCTAGAGTGTTCCCAAGGGGACGTATCCCACTTGGTTAATTACATTTTATGGATTGCCCAAGAATACTATTGATCCAAAAGAGTTTTTGCTTACATTTAAAGCGACGACTAGCGCATGACTATCAAAAGATGGTTGTTATGCATGGGAATGTTTCGTTGCTTTCAAAGCTTCTACTAAGTCACCGGGCAGAGAGTGAGTCTCTCATGTTCCCCACATGGGTAACAAACTCATCGACAAATAAAGCCTGCAAAATTATCGAATCATCCTGATGGGAAATCTTAATTTGAAAAGTCATGACTGTTATATATTATACTACAAAATTTGATGACAACCACATTTAGCTCTTTGTAGAGTAAAATCGTTAATCCATTGATTGAAATCAGTGTGTTCTTCAGGAAACTATTTGCAGCTCGTTTGAAACTTGACGACGCGCGTTAGTTGGAAGCAAACATTTCAACAATACTTTGCAAGCTCGAGAGAATATTTTTGCTTAGTTTGTTCAACTCAATGGAGCATCTGCCTGTACATTTCCCCACGAGTCATTAATTGAATGTCAAGTACATTACCACTTAATGTATCAATTTGAGAGATAATTACATTGAGACTAGGTAGTTAATCACTCGTTTAAAAAAAGATTGTCAATTTGTGTTAAACTACAGTTGTTTTTTAGATTTTTGAATAAATTGAAGAGAACTGTGAAGAATAAGGCCCGATCAAAAAGATTGATATGTGAAACATATTTACTCCATGAGACAACAACATTATGCTCCTACTTTTTCGCGGAAGAAGAATTCACGAAAGATTCATTAGGTTTGGTGCCACCATCAACTCTTTTTGTTTTCTAGCAGTTAGGTGAAGCATTGATGATGTGCACATCACGTTTCCTTAATGATTAAGAACTTTGAACAACGATACTTTATGTTCTTCTCAATTACAATGAAGTTTAACATTTTATTGACTAAGATATTTTTTATTATAATTGTTCACTCATTTATCTAAAAAATGTAATGATGAGTTATTTCAATGATATTTCATTATTTGAACAATTTATTCATGGATTGGTTGAGATTGAGATGTCGACTCGAGGCAAGGACGTTCTCTCTCCCGCATGGGGAGGGGGGTGGAGCACATCATTATCTTATGAAGAAGAATGTCAAGAGAGGCTGCCCAACTTTGAGACCCGCCCCCGCCCTGCCCCTCACTCCCACCCTCACCCCCACTCCCACCGCTGCCCCGACCACCATTCCCACCCCCACTATTACACCCACCTCGACCCAAATCCCTTCCTCCGCCCCTACCCACTCCCCTATCCCCACCCCTACCTCCACCCCCACAACAGCGAGGTTTGCTTCAGCAGAGGCCCACGCTGGCTTTATTAAGCAGGAGTTAACAGGCAGCAGCAACTGCATTGAGCATGTCAACAACGTAAGTTTTCTTCTTTTTTTTTTTTTTTTATGAAATTGATAGTAATCTTTTTTTTTTGCTTTCATTGAATAAAAATTAAGAATTTCTTATTTTCGGGTTCTACCCCACTATTCATGTCATTTGAGATATCATTCGGAGCAAGTATTAATTAGCGCACTTGTCGTGAAGGACATCCCGATAGCTATTCAAGATTTTGGTTTCAGGAGTTCGCAGTATGTATCGTTCACAAATATCATAATTTTTATGATTAAGTTGTGTATTTGAACATACATTTTTTGTATGAACAGTAATGCATTTAATGCATTTTATTTATTTTGTTACTTGATTGGATAAGTTATCCTTTGAATGCTATTTTAGTTCGTTAAAAGATTGAAATTATAAATCAAATGTTATGATAACAAGTGTGGTAATATATAGTGATGGTGTCATTTTTTTTTTTTTTTTTTTCCGTTGATGGTGTAGGTTTCTGACATCCTACCGGGTGTTTGGCGATCACTTTTAGCAAATTAGTTGTCATAACTGGTCGATGGCTAGCCGATGGACTTAATCACTAATGCATAAGCGACACCGAACCGACGGCTTAATCGTGTCATAAGAAATTGATGACCACGACATTTTTCTGATACTTTTTTGTCGATTGTCAAAATCTTACATCAGTGACACATAACTGACGGAACGCGTGTGCCAAAAAAGTGGCGGGCAAGACACTCTTCCGACTTCGTCAGTTATATGAACTAATGAAAACCGGCGATTTAAAATTTCAAAAAAAAAAAAAAAAATTACGACATAAAATTGTCGGTTATGTGTCGGAATGTTTATGTCGTCTGAATATCAGTCAGTTTTAAAATTACCAACAAGAGTTTTTGTTACGAGTTTAAAACAATCGATAAGTCATCAGAAAAATACAAAGTGACAGTATTTCTCTATATAACCAACGACATGTGGCCGTCAGAAAGGAGCACTATTCCTGTAGTGTCAAATGCCATTCATTTGTTCCTCAAAAACATATATGTGTTTTCTTTAGTAAATCTCTATAATGGCAACTCTTGAGATGTCAATCCTTAAGGTTGTTGAGTTTATTCTATAAGTGGTGCATGAGGAATAATCTCATCATTGTCATGTTTTAGAACATTACCAAGAGTAAAGGCATGAAAGTATTATCTAATAGCTTTAAAAATATGATCACTATAAATAAAATAATCTTTTTTCAAAGATAATATTATTTATGTCTTCTCCTCTCGAATTAATTTTGAATTTTCCATTAAAAAAAAAAAGCAATAAACCTTATATGAGTCTACATTTCTTTCATGTGACTTGTGAGGCCTTGCTTTCATTAGACAAACCCAAATATGTGGGTTCCTAATATTCAACTTTTTAACACGTATGAAACACGTACAGAGTTTATGCAAATTCTAGTTAAGGGGCATCATTAAAGAGAGATTAGGCTAATTTCATTATTATAGAAAGTTGTGTTAAATAAGTAGAACATGAATGATGGAATGAATTGGTGATATCAAGTAGATCTTGGTGAGATTAGTGATGACAAAGCTTTAAATGGGTTATAGCTTAAATTAATTAGTTCTAGCATGCCCATGAGCTTATGATAAGTGAATTTCATTATGTGACAATGATGTTATTTATTTGGTGAATTTTTATAAGAATTGAAGGCTTTATGCTTGTTTTTTTTTTCCTTTTCATCTTTTAAAGACGATCCTCTGAACTTAGAGACCCTAGTAGCTTTCATTAGATAGATTACGATGCTTTTATTTGAAATTCTTCTTCTCGTATCGATGAGTATTAGAATGCATCACTTATATCAACCATTGATTCAAGTCAATTTGGATTTTAGGATGTTTTCACATATGGTGTCAAAATGTTATGTGCTATAATATAAATGGTGGTAGAGAAATGTTAAAGTCGTACGTATACAAGAAAAATAAATTTTTGTAAGATGTTTTATGTTTTCTGTGTAGAAAGCTTAGAAAGGGAAAATTTTGTTGGGTTTGGTTGAAAAAAATGATCCAATATGTTGGTTGAAATTTTATAAATAAACCCCTCGCCTCACTTAGAGAGTATACATAAAGTGTAGGACGTTTCTGTGATCTTTTCATTAACGCGGGTCAATGAATATTGTTGAAGTATTAAAGGGTGATGATTATGACTAGTCGATGTTGGTTCGATGACGGCGCTTAAATGATGATGTGCGGGTGATAATGATTTGACAAAGTAGATTAGATGATGATAATCCTGCGGTATAATTAAAAAATGATGTTGCAAGTGTGATAATAATTTGGAAAAGACTTTTAGACGTTGGTTGTGATTGTTGGTTTTGAAGTTCAGACAAATCTCTAAATGTTTTTAGATCTTAAAAACTCTCTTCTGCTTATTCAATTCTCTCACATGTGAAGAAGTAGAGACTGTTTATAAAATTTTACATCGAATGACTCATATTGATTCAAGTGATCATGAATAATTATTTCGTTATTTTAGTGCAATTACGATAATAGAATTCATTGTTCTTTTACTCGTTAGATTTCTCTTATTATACGATTTATTTTGACTAAACCACATGAAAATTGAAGATTGTTTAGGCTTTTAGTTAATACCATGAATCCATTAACCACAATTCAAGTGCTTGATTGGGTTCATTTGGGCTCATATCAAACCATTTTTAGTTTAGTCGGATTCATCTAGGTATTAAATTCAACTAAATGGATTGAAATTAGAGTTCATATAATGTTGGACTAAATTTTGAATGCCTTGAACTCAAAAATATATGTAAACAATATACTTAATTAGCTTAATTTCTTTGCTCTCAATCAATTTGAGACAAATACATCACACTAAAATTTAAAGGGAAATTTGCACAAATACCACACAATCTATTTCTATTTACATATCTAACTCCTAAATTTTCATATATAAACTTATAATACCTTGGCGTCATAAACCTATCCATAAAAAGGTGTATTTCGCTTGATATGTAAGTAAATAAGAATGTTTGGATGTTAGGAGTGTAAACTCATAAAAATTATATGGAATCATATTTCCAATTGACATAAATAATTTGAATGCAAATCAACCAATAATTTTTATGTATTTACATATCTACACTTTATAGTTTGATAGTCTTGGATCTGTACATGAAAATGTGTATTTCACTTTTAAGAAGTTAGTAAAACAAATATTTTTGATGTGATTTTATAATTACAAACATCATATAAAAAGTAACATTCGTTGTCACATTTTAATAGCCAAATTCATATTTTCATTCATAATTAAAGTGTTATATGTGTAAATATATAGGTAAATCCATAAAAATGGGGTGCTATGTATGTATTTTCTCTAGACATTAATGTATTATATAAATAAATATAAACAAATTATATATCAAATACTAAAATACTTACAAATTAAATGCAATGCTTTGTAAATCCCCTACAAATGCTAATCTCTGCTTCTCGGCCATTACTCTGCATGCTCTGTTTAGTGTAAAAAAGGGTTCCGCAACAGCATAAGCCCTAATTTCTCTCATTCCCCCTTTCTGCTTCGTCTGTGGAGGCTTATCATTGGTCGATTTCGCTCCTCCTCTTCAGCCGCCTCAACAATTTCCAATCTTTTTTCCAGGTAATCGATATAACTGAGCTCAATGCTTGCGGAATCTCTCTATCTAACGGATTTCTTTCTCCAATGCGTCGATTTCTTGAAGTTAGCTTCGCAGCTCCGCCATTAGAGCGCAGGAATGGGAAGGAGGTTTTTAGGGTTTTAGAGGTTTCTACGATAAGACAATGGCTGAGAAAACGCAAGCTTTTAGGGTTTTAGAGGTTTCTTCTTCTTTGTATTTATTAAATGAACCATGCTATTGTGCGCGACTGTTGCAATCTTTTTCCTTTTTATGATTCAGAACAAAAAAAAAAAATTGTAAAATATTTGACATGAGACTTTGAATTAGCATCACTAACACTGTTTTTCCTTAAAAAAAAATTAATCTTTGTTTATGAAGATATGAAAAAGATTAGTTCTTGAAGCAGCAATTCTTTCACTTAATTGTTTATGGCAAATGAATTGTAAAGATAAATAAACAAAAATCAGAGGATGTTTTTTTCAGCATTATATAAATGTTAATGTTATTTTGGGGTTTTATGAGTATTGTCTTGCAAATATGGTTTTTTAGTTCAATGCTACTCAAATGGGACTTAGTAAATCTTGATTGGATTAAAATTTTAAAGGGAAATTTACTTACATAGCACACGATTCTAATGTTTTTACATATCTTACACCTAAACATTCATATTTACATATGTAGCACTTTTTTGCTTTTAAACCTATGCATGAAAATGTTCATGTTACTTTTATAAATGACACAAGTGTTATTCTTTTATGTGATATTAAATATTTGAGTGCAATGTGGGTAGATATAAAAGTTTAGGTGTGAGACATGTAAATACATTAGAAATGTGTCCAATGTATGTAAACCTGAAAACTATGTTGCACTTTGATTAATTATTTGGCAATTTGTTTTAGAATTTAAGATTTTTTAGATGGAGAAACACTTAAATTCAATCATTCCCATGAATCTATGGATTTAACAAATCTACCCTTTGTTTCAATAACATATATAAGATTTTTAGTTCAATGCTACCCTTTATTTCAATAACATAATATTACATAACTAATGTCAAAGGTTATGCTTTCGCACAATGCGGTTTCAAACAATTCTAAGTGTCTTTAATTTTTCTTTGTTATTATGATGCAGCATAAACACACATTATATGTCATGTATATGATCATATTGCACTTTATATGTTCCTCTTGAACTCCTTTGAAGGAATTTTTCACTAATTTAGTGGCATGGCAGTGCAGTAATCAGCATTATGGCCGAAGAACTCGTTCCGGTTATGTGTTATCACGGTGGACGAATTGTAATGCACGGTCGTACGCCGGAGTATAACGGAGGTTCTATGGAGGGTGTTCCTATGAGCAAATCAACTATATACTCTGATTTGTTGAAGAAGGTGAACGAATTAACTGCGACAGATCCAAAACAATTCAAGTTGATCATGAAGTGCAGGTTTCCTACGAGCGGATCAGATTATGTAGCTTTGGAGGTAAAAGACGAAGTAACGACGAAAATGATGTTTGGTTTGTATCCTCGAGTTTATAGCTTGGAACTATTTGTGGAGCGCTGTAGAATTAGCGAGAGTGTTGAACTCGAAGAAAGCATGGTAAGAGAACCAATGGAAATGGGAGCAGAAGGCGGTGATTCACTTAGTTCTTCACAACATGGGACGAATAAGGACACTCTGACTAGCAACTCAAACCATTTACATGAAAATGTTTTTCATCCGAGGTATTATAGTCCATAACATTTTGATAAATTAATTATGAGGATATTTCACTTGTATCAACTTAGCAAGATGATGTTGGTTATTATTAACTGCCTTTACAATAAATTTTAAGCGTTCGCCTCAAAATGTGTTTAATCTTTTATTGGGAAATTTTCGTAACTAGCTTACAGTTCTTATGTATTTTCTTGTCGCACACCGAAACTTTCATATTTACATACATAGCACTTTGGTGCTATAAGTCTATGCATGAAAATGTGTATTTCACTTTTTTAAGTGGTTTTAGTGCTATTTTTGATGTGATATTAAACATTTGAGTGTTATGTGTGTAAATATGAAAGTTGAGGTGTGAGATATGTCAATACATTAGAATTGTGTGCTATGTATGCAAATGCCCTTTTTTATCTTACTTTTTATGTTTTATTTTAGTGGGGTTTAAGTACATGCCTCACAATTCCTATGTATTTACATATCTAACAACTAAATTTTAATATTTACTTATATAACCCCTTAGTGTCATAATCACTTCAAAATATAGCATGTAAAGGATGTATTTTACTTTGGAAAAGTTTAACTTCGTGGTATTTTTCATGTAATGTTAAAGATTTGTGTATTATATACGTAAATATAAAAAATAATTGTGAGGTTTGTGAATCCCCCTTTATTTTATAACTGCTAAATTTAACTTGAGAATACCTCTATCAGTGATAACCTTAGAAGGACCATTCGAAACAAAGCTAGATGCTTAACCAAGATGGGAGGAAGAGACCCCAATTGTACTTCAAAAGTTCCATTCGCTGAATCGAATCAAAGGGATGGAAATCTTACAAATGAGCCCATTGAGTAAGAATTTTAATTTCCTTTTAGCATAATATATGTCTAACTGCAGTCGAAAACTTAAATTGTGCAAAATATGTCTTCTTTATTGTTTTGTGATTTTGTTGATGTCTAGAGTTGAGAATATGGAGGTAGATTCTAAAGGCAATGCGCCAAATTGGAAGAACCTTTATGAAGAAGATGAAGATGAAGATGATGATGATTTGGTTAGTGATTCGATCATCCGAAACACATGTCGAGGCTTCGAGGATGATCCCGTATCCAGTGATGGTTTGCTCCACATTGGCAAAGTGTTCGAAGATAAGGAGGCCTTGAAGCAATCACTACAAGAGTACTCCATTAGAAGACATGTCGAATACCAAGTTCTTCGATCCACGAAAAAAATCTTCAATGTTAGTTGCACCCAAAAAGGATGTCCATGGCAACTCAGAGCAAGACTTGCAAAGCATCTTCAAAGATTCAAAATCAAGTTCTACGGAGGTGATCATACATGTAGTGTCTCCACATCAACTGGCGATCACAAGCAATGCGATACGAAATTTATTTCAACATGTATAACGCCGTTGGTGAAGCGAAAATCAAATGTAAATCCAGCTGAGGTAATCGCATGGATGGCAAACGAGTATAACATAAAGATAAGTTATTCAAAGGCGTGGCTTGGATTGAGTAAAGCTTTGAAGAAGATTCATGGCTCGTGGGATGATTCATACGCCATGCTCCCAGAGTATTTGAATGTCGTGCAAGAGGCGAATCCCGGAACTTTTATGCAACTATTAACAAATGAAAAAGGCGAGGTTAGGGAGTTTCACCGTCTCTTCTGGTCATTTAACGCGTGCATAGAAGGTTTTCGTAACTTACGACCAATGATTGCCGTCGACAGTGCAGAGCTACACGGTAAATATGCTGGAAATTTTTTGGTGGCCACCGGTGTCGACGGAAACGACAGTCTTTTCCCTCTCGCATTCGCCATCACTGAGTCGGAAACCGAGTCAACATGGACGTGGTTCTTGGGATGTATTCGACAATGCCTAACTAATAGGGTTGATGTTACAATCATTTCTGATAGAGGGAGAGGGCTGATGGAGGCTGTAAAGGCAGTATACCCTTCCGGTTTAGCTTCCCATAGATACTGCATGAAGCAGCTCTCATGCAGCCTCAGAAAGGAATTCAAAGATGAGACACTGGTGAATCTCTTTTGGGAGGCGGCGAAGAAGACCGAAGCATGTGAATTTGACGAGACGATGAAGATATTGGGGGAACGAAATCCCGGTGCGAGAGCATGGCTCGAGAAAATCGGCGTCGAGAAGTGGTCATTCGCACATGACGGCGGAAAACGCTTTGGCATCATGACGACCAACATCGTCGAAACATGTGACAGTCTTCTCAAAGGAGCTCGTGGGCTTCCTATAAGGTCACTCGTCGCAAAAACCCTGTCACGATTAGGCAAGTTATTTGACAAACGACGCGAAGAAGGAGGACGAATGTTGGGCATCATGACATCCAACATTGAATCACAGCTGAGCGAAATTGTGAACTTGGCTGTGCAACATATGGTGGAGCCATATTCGACATCAGTCTTCAAGGTTTATCGAGTGAATCATCGACCACATAATGTAAACATGGATACGTACACATGCACGTGCAACCGATTCGTGATATCGGGCATTCCGTGCGCCCACATCACCGCCGTCTGTATGAGCATGCAAATTTCATATTATAATCTTTGCGCGAAATACTTCACCTCCGATGTCTACAGGCAGACATATGACATGAAGCTGCATCCAGTGGAAGAGGAGAATGCTAGTCGTTCGCAGGAAGGAAAGATTGTTACGCCGCCGGCAGTGGCGAGGAAACGGGGGCGGCCACCTTCGGTGCGGATAAACAAAGGGATGCCGGCGGCTGTGTACAGATGCAGCAAGTGTAAGCAGGACGGGCATAATTTTAGAACTTGCAAGACTGAGCAGCTCATCCATGGAGGTCAGATTGAACACAGTAGTTGTTACCAAGGTGATGATGCTGATGAGCAGATTACTGATTCAAGAGAGAAACTTTGAAAAATGTTATCGTGTGGCTGTTTTGAATGTGGAAGGACGAGTTTATGTTAGTTCTTTCTGATTCTAATGAAGATTTGGATTGTTATGTATTAATCCTAATTGCTGCAATTAGAGTATTTTATTAATATCTTCTGATTTTTAATTTTTCAAAATGACAATATTTCGGGTGTTGTGTATGTAATTATCTTTTTTTTTTTAAGTTTTTCTTATTATTCTTATATTTTTTTTCTTATTTTTGCCTTTTAAGACTGTGTTTGAAAGAAACAAAAGGATTTTTAAATATTTTGATGTTGAGCTTAGGATGCTTTATTTATGAATATTTCATATTTAAAAAATGCTGTTATTTTATAAGATGTAATTCTAAAATTATAACTATCAAAATTTCCCTATTCTAATTATAGATTTGACAAAATTTATGGGTGTAAACAAGCCCGTGAACGAGTCCAAGCTCAACTTTTGTTTGGCTTCTTAAAAAATATCACTATATGTGTTTGACTCATTTATGTTTCGAACACAAAAAAATGTGTTCGTGTTCGGCTTGTTAGCTTAGCGAGCCGAAAACGAGCTATTCGCGAATAAAATGCCGTTTTGACAGTGGCCGAATGTTAAAAGGTTGGGGCAAGATTTAAATCTTATTATTTATATTAAAATATCATTTAAAATAATTTAATATATTTCTATTCTATTTTTTAATCAACCGTTTTAATTGATTATAAATTTTTCTAGCCTTGCAGTCAATTAAAATTTTAAAAAATATTATTTGTCAATTATATATATATATATATATATTTGCATCGGAAATTTTAGACGCATATATTTACGTCGGCTTTTGCCACTGACACACGGCGAACCTTTATTTATGTTATCTGGGGCGAAATTTGTGTCAGGTTAGCCTCTATATATTTGACGCAAAGAATAACAAAATTTACAATATTATTACGGTCATTTTGGAGTCACATTTGCCTCAAATAAATCAACACAAAAACTTTATCTAAAAGCATTTAAAATATCTGACGCAAAGTAGAAAAAACTGATCCGATAAACCTAAAATACTCATCCCACATTCTCCATTTCATTTTGTTCTTCGCGGCACTCCTTTTTCCATCTGCAGTAGCCCGAAACACTTGCTTGCTCACCCAAAACACCCTCACCCTCTCTTCGCCCTTTCTCTATCCAAGCCCGAACCCTGGTGGTATGTTCGCCATTAGAGCTAGCTAGGACAACAAGGAGCGGCTCAACACAGAGACCACTGAATCTCCCATATTTCCCATCCGTCTGCACTGCTCCTATCAGAAAACATCAAGGAAGGTAATTTGATTTGCGCCATTGTTTTTGATTTTGTAATGTGGTATGTATGTAAGAATTGAAGTTTAGGAGTTAGAGATGTATATACATAAGATTTGAGTGGTTGAATGTCAATCTTCATAAAAATTGAAGCTTAGGTATTAGCTATGTGCATACATAAGTATTGAGTGGTATGTATGAAAAACTATTTGCAATAGGTAATGTGGTATGTTGTAAAAATTGAAGTTTAGGTGTTAGATATATATATATATATATAATGAGGGGTGTATATGTATGAAAATCTTTGTAAAAAAATGAACTTTAGGTGTTAGGCATGTAAATACATTAAGGGGATGCTATTAGTGGAATTCACGTTGGTTGGTTGTAGTGGAGGAATGCATCAGGTCTATTTGTAAAGTGTTTGTGATATAGGGATGTTCTTAATTGAATTCAAGTTGGTTAGTTGAAGGGGAGGAATGCATCGATCGGGTTTATTATTCAAAGTGATGGTCATATAGATGGGGATGTTATTAGAAGAATACACATTGGTTGGTTGAAGTGGAAGAATGCATCAAGTCTATTGTTCAAAGTGATGGTGATATTGATGGGGATGTTATTAGTAGAATTCACGTTAGTTCGTTGAAGTGGAGGAATGCACCGGGTTTATTGTTCAAAGTGGTAGTGATATAGATGGGGAAGCTATTAGTAGAATTCAAGTTGTTTGGATGAAATGGAGGAGTGTATTGGGACTTGTTCAAAGTGATGGAGATATATATGGGGATGTTATTTGTAGAATTCGTGTTGGTTTATTGAAGTGGGGGAATGCGTCAGGTCTATTGTTCAAAGTGTTAGTGATATAGTTGGAATGCTATTAGTAGAATTCAAGCTGGTTGGATGAAGTAGAGGAATGAATTGAGCCTATTGTTTAAAAAATAAAACACTTCAAAGAGTTGTCTTAAATATGATTGACCGAGTAGTGCCGACTTCACGGTATGAAGCGAGCCACTTTAAAAAGGTTCCTGGGGTATGTTTCTTTAATGAGAATTAGCTTCTACAAACCACTAAGCATCTTCGTCCACTATAAATATTGATAAGGATTGACTAATTTTTATTTTATGTAACGGTTGCACTGATATGTAATGCTACACCTATGTTGCAGATGGATATTCGTAATTTAAGAGATTGGATGTATAATAGATTATATCTAGGAAGAAAATGATTTACAGATGAGTTCTTGAATGGTATTGAAAAATTAGTGCAAGTTATGTTTTACCAATCCATTTATTGTTCAGAGAGTAAGTTATGGTGTCCCTGTGCGAAGCACAAAAATCAAGCCTATCACGACCCGAAGAAGCTAAATTGGATCTTTACCGCAAGGGATTCAAATCAAATTATTGGTACTGGACTACACATTTTGAGCAAGAACTAGAAGTTAGTAATATCAAGGAGGTGCCTCAACAAGTTGTGTCCCTTCAACAAAGGAATATGTTCATGAAAGATATGAAGAAATTGTTCATGATGCTCGCAGAGCTCATTTTGTTGAAAGCGTTCCACATGAAAGTGAAACACCACAAACAATAAATTGCAACAGTTTTATGACTTGCTGAATGCTGCACAACAATCTTTATGGGATAGTTGCATTACACATACGGAGTTATCAATGGCACTGTGAATATTGAGCATCAATCTGATTTTAACATGCCCATAAAAGCATTCAATCAAGTGCCAATATTATTAAAAAAATAAACCATACATGGAATTTAGTGTCGGATAACCTGTACAAAACAAAAAATAAGTTTCCAAGTTAGGGTTACATTATGAAAAGATTGATTGTTGTGTTAATGCCTGTATGATATATTACAAGGCTAATGCAGTCAAGATGACCAACCAATTTTGTCGTGCTGATAGATTCAAACAATGGGGGCGAAAGGGTAAGATTTAGAAAAATATTTCATGAAACATCTCTTTTATTTTTTGCTCATATTCCAACTTCAAAGACTGTTCGCTTTTATGTGTAGAGCTTCTCATATGACTTGGTACAGTATTGGATTTTTTTATGCTAATTCGATGAGTCATGCGTCACATGGTGAGGCCTAGAGATATTTTGACATACCCAAACTTTGCAGCTGAAGCACACAATGTTAGACTTGGTTTATGTATAGATGGCTTCACCCCGTTCAATCACGCCACAACCCTGCACTCATGTTGGCATCATTATGTGATACAAGTTGATAAATACCCCCCCCCCCCCCCCCCCCCGGCTTCAAAGACTGTTCACTTTTTTGTGTCGCACAGCTACATCGTTCTTATTTTTTACGTTGATTATATCAGGTTTACATAACCCAAAGAGAAAATCGACGTCTTTTGATGAGCTTTAAATGTTATGAAAGACGGGGGTGCTTACATATGACATCGCTAAGAAACAAAATTTTCAACTGAGAGCAGCTCTTATGTGGATAATTAGTGATTTCCCGGCCTATAGAATGTTAGCTGGTTGGAGCACAGTCAAAAAATTGGCTTGTTCTTGTTGCATGAATATGCGTAAGGCATTTACTCTACAACATGGAAGGAGTAATAGTTGGTTTGACTAGCACCAAAGATTTTTTCACCATGATCACTCATTTAAAAGAAACAGATATGCATTCTTCAAAAACAAGGTTGAAAGATCAAGTCCACCCCTATGTTATATGGATTCAAAATATTGCAGATGATCTGTAAAGTACCAAAGATCAGTAAGAAACCAGAGTTAGCTTCAACTCGATTCAGAATAAGTCATGAACATGAAAAGTACCAAAGATTTCTTTTTTTTTTTTGGGCACCATTCTTTGTTTACTTTTATTCATGCTTATTATTATTACTGATGTCAATTCTAATGTCCTTCCTTTGTTTACTTTTATTTATGCTCATTATTATTACTGTTGTCAGTACTAATTTCCTTCCTTTGTTTACAGATGACCGCAGGCAGTGCAAGTAATCGGCCACCTAAGTGACGTCGTGTTAGAGGAACATTAGAGATCACTTACAAGAGCGGGAAGAGGGGGACATTTTCTTCTGCTACTGCTTCCGCACCTGCTCCCCCACCTGCTACTGCTACACCTCCTGCGACACTTGCTTTATATTAAACAATCAGTCCCCAATATGGTTCACCTTGTTCAACCTCTCCTGCTTATGAGAAGAGAGGGAGACAAATCAGGCAAATTGGGCGATAGAGAAGGTCTGAGAAGTTGTGCTCTGTATTAAACAATCAATCCCCAATATGGTGCACTACAAGTCACTAGTAAGCTTCTTTTAAATATTCAAAAATTCAATGTTTCATGTAAATATGGTACTTTTCATGTTCATGACTTGTTCTGAATCGACACTTGCTATATATTCGTTCACCTTCTTCAGCCTCTCCTGCTTATGAGAAGAGAGGGAGACAAATCGGGCAAACTGGGCGATATAGAAGGCCTGAGAAGCTGTGCTCTATATTAAACAATCATTCCCCAATATGGTGCGCTACAAGTCATTAGTAAGCTTCTTTTAAATATTCAAAAATTCAATGTTTCATGTAAATATGGTGCACTACAAGTCACTAGTGACGCATTAGTGGATCTCGGGGCATGCCCAGTAGGTTGTTGTGAGTAAAAAAGAAAATTAAAACTTTATTTTGACTCATACTATTCAAAATGTCAATTAAACAATGGTTTAAAATTTGCAGGAGGATTTTGAGCAACTTAGTGATAGGCATTTGACCACTCAGCCTCAGACTTCCGCCAACAGCAGTGGTAGTTATTCTACTGCGGTGCAGTCCGAGTTTGTGCTTTGGACTCGGGCGACGAGAAAGAAGGGTAAGGGCATAGCCTTCGAGGCCGGGATCTTCCATGGTCTCGTACGGAGTTCCCCGAGTTCCCACATCCAAATAAGAAGATATACCCAGGCAGGTCGTTGCAATGAACAAAGAGATCCGTCAGCTGCACGAGGAGATACTAGAATGCCAATGTTGGGTCGAGGCCTCTATAGCATGCATGGCGGAGACTTTAGCAAAACGTCGGGGCAAGAGGCCAATGACATCCGTAGAGGAAGAGGAGGAAGAGGGAGACGACGATTAAAAATTACTTTTTGTATTATTTATTTATTTTTAGCATTACTTTGAGCATTTACTCTAGATTTTTTGGTTTATTTTGTTGTTATTTGGGACAATTTGTTACATTCTGACTTTACATTTGTGTTATTTACACGATCTATAATTTGTGTTAAGATTGATTATTTGTGGCTGGATAAAATGTTATTGCGGTGTGGATTATATGTATCGTGCAAATTGTGGAAATGTAATTTGTTTTACAGGGTTGTATCTAATTTAAGTATGTTTTGTGTCCAATAATCCGATGTTCAAACGACAATTATTTTCTACGGTTCTTCAATATTATTTGTCGTTAATCCGAGGTTATCCAACGCTACATTTAGCGTCCAATTTTTTAGAAGCAAAATTTAGACGCATGAATAGCCTAAACGAAACTGACAGTACATCGACACAAATAAGACTTAAATAAATTACTGTGAATTATTTTGATGCTAAATAGATGAAAATTACATTACCAACCCCTACCTTTCTAGCAAAAAAAAATCAAATGTAAATCGGACGCAAAGAAGATGATAACCCTAAAATATCGTCGGATTAAACTCCGATTTATGCCTTATGCAAATTCAATAAATTCATATATATATATATATATATATATATGCCATTTTTTATAAAATATTTATATATATATATTTATACATATACAAAAGAACAAATCTTTGTTAGTATCTGACTCGCATATATCAAGCCAAAAAAAATTGTTCGTGTTTAGCTCTCTAACTTAGTGAATAATCAAACACAGACTTCTTAATGAGTCAAGCACGAGCTATTCACGAACAACGAGCCGTTTTGACAGCTTTAATTGAGGGGTATGCTTTTGTAAATTTTGATTAACATTTTTAATAAATGATTCCTAGAATGAATTCTCCCCCAACAAATATATAATTTTTTTTAAATTATAAAAGCAAAGCCTATTTATAGATATTATGAGAGTTGATCATCTTTGCGAACAAAAAAACTAATACATTCCACTAGAGTTGTAAATGAACGAATGCACTTGATGAACAACTCAAACTCGACTCAATTATGACTTAATCATGTTTGTTTAAATTAGTAAATAAATATGTTTAAACAATTTTAAAAGCTCGGAGTTTAAATGAACTAAACATGAACATAGTCGAACATGTTAGTTCATGTTCACAAATAAATTCGTTTGTTTTTCCACAAGTAACTTGTTAAATAATTGATATTAAGCCAAATAATAACTTGTATCATATGTGATATATTATTTAAATAATATTTAATTAAATAGAATTTATTAAATTATAAATTTAATAGAAATATATTATTATATCAATAATTTTTAGATTAATTATTAAATGTATATTTATTTTTATTAATATATAATTATTAATTATAATTTTTTTTTTAAAAGTTTAGGTGTTAAATGTGAAAATACACAAGTTTTATATGGTATGTATGCCCATTAAAATTAACTTTAAACTCTCGCAAACCTTAATTTCTCTCTTTATCTCCTATAGTTTCACGTCTTCAAGTTTCAACGAAAACATATGAAACCCTGAGTTGCTAGGTCGTGCAAGCATTGAAGGCAATGACGAAGTTCATGATGTTCACAGATCTTTGAAACCCTAGTATCTCACATCTCTCTCATTTCCATGATTCTCATAAGTTCAACCCAATTAAAAAGTGATGTTGAAAAAATATTGTGCAATTATTGTGAATTATATATGATTAAAAATAAGAATGATGCAACAACTCACTATAAAGTCATTTATAAAATTATTTTAAAAAACTAAGAATAAGAATGATGCAACAACTCAATATAAAGCCATGAAAAAACCAATACATATATTTGAATTTGAGAGTTGGGTGAAAACTAATCTTGCTAAAATATGAGAGATTACATCTCATATAATCATGCTTCATTATATACCTTAAATTTTTACAAAATTTACAATCGATTAATTAGTAGGTGCAACCAGAATTGTAGAAATATTTATTAAATTTTTTATATGAAAATCAAGATACTCATATAAATTTTAGCTCATTTAAATACTCGATTCACATTTCATAAACAAATCAAGTTCAAACATTGAAAATTTTAAATAAGTCAATCTTGAACCACTTATAATTATACCAAGCCAAGTTTGAATCATGATATACTCGACTCAGACTCAGCCCGATTACAGCCCTAGATTCCATATGATTGTCCAAATATAGCCATTCATGATTTTATGTATTTAAGATGTCTTGATGCCTTAATAAATTCAAATCGAGCAACTTCTAAAATATGTAATTTATCTCACGAATGATATATTGGCTTAGGCATCTTTATGACACATCTTATCTCATCTTATCAACGATATTATCATGATTAGAAAACTGTTACAAATTCTAATCCAAATAATTGCACGCTTACGTACCTAAAGACTTTGTGTGTAGATAATCAAATAATTTTTCCAGTTGCATTATCAATAATCATTAAGCTTAATTCATCATGACATATGACAATATGAAATAACTTTACAATATAGTTCCAAATAACAAAGAGCTACCATGAAGTGAGCCAGGCATAAACAACTAAAACGCAATTCATACATACCACCAAAGTATTTACAAATCTAACACCTAAATTCTATTTTTTTTTTACAATTGTACCGCCAAAATCAATATGTATGTAAATATTCCAATTTAATGACAAGAATAAAGTCATTGAGCTGCAATGATGTAAAAATAATAAGAAATTTTCAATCAAAGAGGCATCCCAGGCATTCTACAACATAAAACCTAAATGAAGCAAGAATTTCTTATTCAAGAATTACATTGTTCTAATCAAAATTTTAATACAATAAATGAGGAGAAAGTGCCTCTCCTCTTTAGAAATCCAACAAACCTATCTACTTCAGAGTGCAATTAAAATCAAGGGACATTTACATACATACCACCCAATTCTTATATATTTACACATCTAGCACCTAAACTTTGCTTTTTTTACATTTACACCGCTCAAATCTTCCATATCACATTTAATTTTTAAAAAGTGAAATATATATTTTCATGTTATAAGGCAGCGTATATGTAAAAATTGAAGTTTAGGTGTTAGATATGTAAAAAGAAAAGGGTCAAAATGGTCTCAGCTCTTTGTAGGAGTCCCTTTTAGTCCCAAAATTCATAAAAGTACCAATTTAATCCCCTAACTATTTTATCGAATGCTAAAATAATCCTCGCTATGCATTATTTCTAATTTTCAACCGATATTAAAACAGTCTAAAGACTAATTTGAGACATTTATAAACTCTGAGACTAAAATGACCCCCTTAAATAGTCAGTGGACTATTTTGATACTTCACTCGATAAGTAAATACGTAAGGATTGAATGGTATGTATGTAATGCAGAAGCGCAGCACTCTAAACTGCGACATTGTGCTGATTTGTGCTATAAATGGAAGGCAGTGAGAAAGACTAGTGTAGCAGGAAGCAGATTAAAGCTTGCTTCAGTGTAAAACAAGGTTTTGTTTGTAATTTTATTAGTCATTCTACTCATAAGAATCTCTTGTGGATTATTGAGACAAACTGATCCAGTAGATCGAAACCTCGTAGGATGAGATATGAGACGAAACCGATATATAGAGCTAAGATGAGACTTACTATAGAACCGAACAACGGGCCATTAACTTCGGATGAGAAAAAATTTAGAAGAAGATATGCGTTAATGATTATTAGTAGAGCAGCGACAACCCAAGTGAGTACCTGCAGAGGAAGAAAGATTCAGAATTGGAGTTTCAGAAATTAAACAGTTGGATTTTTATATAAATTTCTATAGGGAAAAGGGGAAAAAGCCCACACACACACACACACACACACACACACACACACACACAATTCCTATGAATTTACATATATAACACCTACATTTTGGTTTTTACATATATGCCACCCGAATCTTTCAAATCACATAAAAAAGTAACACCATTTAACTTTTAAGAAGTGAAATACACCTTCTCATGCTTAGGCAACGGGGTATTGTATGTAAAAAATGAATGTATAGGTGTTAGATATGTAAATACATAGAAATTGGGGTATGCATGTAAATTTCCCTTTTGAAGAAGCATTTACATGCATACCACCCAATTTCCACATATTTACATATCTAACGCCTAAGCTATACTTTTTATATTTAAACCACCCAAATCTTTTAAATCACATAAAAAAATACCATCATTCTAACTTTCAAGGATTACCTACCTTGCCCACCTTGAAATTTGAAAATCTATTAATAAAGAAGGTACAATTTAATTGTTTGTCCCCTCAGAGTTATATTAATTTGCCCCAATTGACCCCTGCAAACAAACTAAGCCCATATTCAAGTTGGGTCACTTGATTTTTTAGTTTATTGAATTAATAAGAGCCCAATGTTATTAAAGCGATTAAGGAGATAATTAATTTTTTTACAACAATAACAAGCTTTTATCCCACTAAGTGGGGTCGGCTGCAAGAATCCTTTTTCTCCATTGCACCGTGTTGAGTGTCATATTTTCATTTAATTATAATAGATTAAGATATTTTTTTATGCAATAAGCACAAGTCTTTTTAGGTCTACCTCTGTCTTTCTTAACATAAGTCGAATCTAAAACATCTACTCTCCTTACCGTGGAGAGACAACATCAAACGACACAGTGCCAGTTCCTACCAGTTTACTACAGACAGAAGATGCAGCCTCTAGCTTCAGAAGTAGAGAGACAACATTATCGAGAGACCAACACATCTTCCAGGCAAAATTCAACCTCAGAGACTTACAGTCAGATTATACCCAAAAGAATATCCAAGCTAACCCCGTCAGAGTAAAAATTGAGTCAAAGTGGAGAATAGGTGAAACAAATTCGCATCCTTGAATTTGTCCCAGCCAGGAAGTGTTGCACGTGTCACGGATTTAGGCACATTGAATCTGATTGCACAACCAGGGGAGTGATCTGTTTCATGGAGCAGAGCATTCTTGAAAAATTTAGTAATGATATAGTAGACACTGAAGACGGTAATGACATAAAACAGGAGAACATGCTTCCAGTTGAAGAGATATCTCGGTGATTCGAAAGAAGATGCAAACTTCAGAGAAAATTCTCAATGTTCAGCCAACAAGGAGGAGAAGTTGTTGATTCCAGTCGACCCCAAGATAGAGATTCAGACTGATGTAACAGTAGTTATTCTAGAAGATAATGACTCTGATGTGATGGGCATCCCGACAGAGTACAAGATTATGGTGCCTCGAGCTAACATTTTGCAGGTATTGAGACGAGCATTAGCAGGACTGACTTTGGATGTCCAAAAGAACAAAGAGCTTGAGAAACTGATACTAGACACAAGTCAATTTCAGATAGAAAAAATTTCAGGCATTTCAAATATATAGCCTATCACCTAAGTTGCCCCTATGGAAGAAGGTCCAAACCGTCAAAGATGGGAAGAATTTGAGTTAATTTTGAATGACGGTTATAACCCATTTAGGGATTAAAATTAGTTCAACTATGCACTCCCAATAGAAGATTAGACAGGATGGATGAGCTGCAATGATGGGAACCACCCCAGGATCCTTGGGAAAAAGAAAATGCCTCTCATGAGTGGTTACACATCAGGATGACCCAATCTGCTAGAGATGTCATTCCAGAGTTGACCTCCTTGAGAGCTTTGTTCATCGGACACATCCAACCGAGTACGTGGAATGGGAGAAGCATATTATATATTTAATCGCTCGGAATTTGGCCCGAGTGAACCTACATCGTTGTGCACCTTCGACTTAAATTGTGCCTAAAGTTGACAGATAAATATATTCTATCAAGATATTCTTTAAAACAACATCTACAAGATTGACTTTTCGGGAGCTTACAACATGACCGACCTAACTACCAAGAGAAGACAGAAAAGCTTCAACTAATGAGGCCGAAGCTCCCCCAACCCTGAGAGGCTAACGCATAGCTTGGGGGCTGAACCGGCCCCAACTGGTTCAGCATAAGAGGGTTCGGTACAGCAAGATACTGAACCGCCTCCTCTCCCTATTTTCATTCGGCGTGAATTATTCCCCCTTCCTGTTTTTGTTTCTTATGTATCCATCTTCTATTTATATGTTATTTCTCTATTTTAGGATTATGGTCTGTGAGATTGATTTCAGATTTCTGTCAAGCATAGCCGTCAGCGCCCTTTTGTCCCATTCGAGTATTGCATCCAATAAATTGGGTGGTGCTCCAGTTATATCCCTCCCCTGAGGTGGTGATCATCGTCCCCGACTTCCCCTCCCTGGCCTGCTGCCACCCCGCCAACGTTCCTATCATCCCCGCTCTCTCCTGCTATCCCCTCTAAGCCGCTCAACCTGCCCCCACAACTTCCTGTGGCATAACCTGCAGTAGCAGATCACCCCAGCTCCATGCAGGTTAACATAACCATGCCTTCTGCAGGCTGCCAATAAACCCCTCTCCCACTAACCCACCTTCCCGCGGCAGCCCATCTCCACTTCAGCCTGGTTGTCCGACCACCCTGTCCTCCTACAGCAAGCAAGCCTGCTATACAGCCCTCCAGGCCAGTTTCCTGGACATCATTTTGAGGTTGAACCTGTCAGATTGGCCGCCCGGTCCATTCTGGTTTTTAAAACATGTACATTGTAACAGAAATTGGAAGTTGATGAATGGGCCATTGTAGTGGATGGCGCAAATTAGTTTTTCAGGATTGTTTTGTGACTTTCAAACTGTTATGCATTATAGCTGCAACTACGATTCTTAAAATTAAAATTTTGTTTTAGCCAAATTTTGAGATTTTAAGAAAGCAATTAACTTGAATTTTTTTAATCAGAAATCAGACCCTGAGATATGCAAAAACTGAACATAGACAATACAATGACAACCTATGACAATCATTTGTAAAAACCTACAATAAGACATCCTGCATAAAATTTAGTATCAAAATGGCTAAATGTGTGGTTCAGAGAATTTGACAATGACAATGACAACCTATGACAATCATTGAGTTCAGTTTTATGATATAGATGAAAACAAAACCAAGAAAATTAAAATTGTTGTATGGGAGAATGGATCTAATGCAATGCGTGATTGTTAATTAATGTCCTAATAATTAGTATATTTAATTGTTCAGAAAATTTTCTTCAAACTTTAAGTTCTCTATACTGTCTATTCCCGTTAAGTGTTATCACCCAGATTATTCGAATCCTAATAATTAGTCTATATTAATTATTAATAACATTTTTCTTCATCATTGTCGTTGCATCCAATCAAGTCTAGTTGTAAATCACATATAGAGTCCAACAAATGAGTTGAATTACATCTACAGATTTATGGTTTTATCTTTGAGACAGCTTCCTGATTCCATTATCATTCATGCGTCATATTCAACTGCAATATTCATTATTCATACACATAAATTGCACAATAACTACACCAATGAAATTCCATACATGGTGAAAATTTGAAGGCTAAAATGATTATACAACTGAAATATTTATTATTCTAAAATTTCTACTGAAATTGCAAGGTGCAGATGACCTACTACTTTTGCATGCGTCATTCATGAAGCGCCCTAAAAATAATGTCCTAAGGGGAGAGCGTAGATAGTATTTGTATTCTCTCTCGCAAACTAAGTTCAATTTCAACACTGACATTATTAGAAGCTGAGATTACTTAATGAGATTCAAAAACAAACAAATGATATATTGGGCAGGAGGTATTAGTGGAAATTACCCTTGTTAGATGACCAATCTTGAAATTTCCCATAACTTGCTCCTTCGATACCAAAGTAAGAAGAGGGATAAGAGCAAAAGGAATTTGTACCGACTGAAGAACATTCAACCATTCGTTCAAAACATCTAACGCGGCATCAGATGTGTCGAAAAAGAGAGCAACAATCATCGTCGGCACAATTGCAAAGCTTCTTGTTATCAACGCCCTGAGCCACTTCTTCAATCTAAGATTGAGAAATCCTCCCATAATAAACTGCCCCGCATAAGTTCCAGTAATGGTGCTGCTTTGTCCTGCAGCTAATAGTCCTATACCCCATATGTAAAGAATAGGTAGAAGGCCTCCGCCATACTTCTGTTCTAAGTACTGCCCCGCATTCTCGAGTCCAATAGCGCCAGCTTCCTTACTCCCATAAAACCCTTTTGCAAAAACAGTCGTCACAAACAAATTTATCATGAAGGAGACGATGAGAGCAATAGTTGACTCTATGGTGTAATAATGTAACGCTTCTTGAACACGATTTTTCTTGTTAGGATCGACCTTTCTGGACTGAACCAGAGCCGAATGGAGATACACGTTATGTGGCATAATTACACAACCAACTACCCCGACGGCCTGCCTTATTGTTCTGGAGTTCAGTTTAGGAACTAAAATGCCTGCGAAAACAGCCGAGAGTTAATCATAGTTAGAAATTGAATAGGGCCAGAGCATTGCCTTTGTAAGAGAGAAGGAAGATTTACAAGCATGCCACTAAATTCCTATGTAGTTACATATCTAACATCTAAACTTCAATTTTTACATACATGCCATTTTATATTTGCATGAAAAGATGTATGTCACTGCTTAAAAGTTGAAATGATGGTATTTTTTATGTGATATGAAAGATTTGGGTGTTATAAATGTAAAAAGTAAACTTTAGGTGTTAGAGATGTCAATACATAAAAATTGGCTGGCATGTATGTAAATGCCCCAAAAAAGAATTACCAATCAGAAGCTCCCTTCCGCTAGGTTTGGCTTCTCCGAACATCCAAGCAAAAGAAACGGCCATAGTTGAAATGAGAACAGCAAAGAAGGCTTCCAACTTTCTAACCCCATAGTTTTCCAGGAAAAGAAAGATAAAACTGCCAAAGATAAATAATAGCAATAAATTTATAGAGCATTTTGATTAAAATTTCAATATTAAAAGAAGTAATAAACCTTTACTCGAGATCTCTAAAACCAACAGCATTTATATATATATGCTTATATGATTAAATAGATAAATAGTTCATGTTATTGGATAAAAACAAAAAACAAAGGGAACAGTTGTAGCTTCATTTAAACCCTATAAATTGCTTATAATTGTCGAGCTTCCTTAATAACAAGGTAGAATCCAAAAACTATGCTTTTCTCGTTCAAATGATTTTCAGAAAGGAAAACATCAATGGATTATTACGTAAGAAGAAGGGTCCGTTTTGGGTAGTTTATTTAGGTGCGGTGGCATTTTCAAAACGCCGCCGCAGTGTTTGGAATTCACGTTCGAGCAGATTATTTCTACCGCACTACGTTCGTGTAATCGAATTTCGTTAGGTCCTTCAACGCGGGTGAAGACCCGAGTCCCGCGTTCAGCTTCTATCATTGCCCTAGATACCCCAAATCTCCCTCACGCTCTCCCTCCCTGGAATTGTCACCCTAGAGGAGATCGAACCGCATTTCTTTTGATTTTTCTTTTTGATTCGTAAGGTATGTTTTCCCAGTTCGATGACACAGATTTTGATTATTGGAGGATGCAGATAAAGGACTACCTCTATGGGAAGAAACTTCATCTTCCATTATTGGGGAAAATACCTGAAATAATGGATGAAGCTGAATGGAATCTGTTGGATCGACAGTTTCTCGAGATTATTTGATTGACCATATCGAAGTCTGTTGCACACATCGTCGTCAATGAGAGAACGACTGCAGATCTTATGGCAGCCCTGTCAGGTATGTATGAAAAGTCATCGGCGAATAATAAGATATATTTGATGAAGAAGTTGTTATTCAATTTAAAGATGGTGGAATGTACGTCTGTTGTACAACATCTGAATGATTTTAGTGCTATCACAAAGCAATTATCTTATGTGGAAATTGAATTTGATGATGAGATATGTGTATTGATCTTGTTAGCTTAATTGTCAAATAGCTGGGAAGTTATGAGGATAGCTGTCAGTAATTCTGCACGTAAATCAAAACTGAAATTTGAAGATATTTGTGATTTGATTTTGGCCGAGGGTTGGCAACGCAGAAAAATTTCCTCCAGGTTTCAAGTGACAGGGAGGATAGTTCGTGGGAAGACGATCGTTCGCGCGAAGCAGATCCTTCGCGACAGGCATATCATTCGTTTGGGATCTGCGCGAGAACATTACGGAGAAGATCAGGACAGGGTTGTGTGCGGTTCGGGCGAACAAGACAAAGGCGATTTCGGCGAAGCAGATCGTTCGAAGGAGGCGCAGTTCGATCGAGAGGTTTCTTCTGCAAGTCAACGGAAATCCTTGCCCGCATGCGGACACGCGGAGCAACTTCCTTCGCGAGGACCGTCATGATCGGACCAGGCAGCGACGGATTCAGCGAGCAGGAGAGCTACACGCGCTACAGAGGAGGTTTGGCTTCGGGGTTCAGAATGTTCGGTGGCAAAGGATTTCAGCGAAAGGCCCGCGACCAGTGGCAAACAGAAATTCGACGGCGGTTACGGAAGCATCTCGCAGCACTGGAACGCAGGGCTTCGGTTCGTTCGAGACGGCAGCAGTTCGCGGGTGCAGTTGTGCAGTTGCGACAGGTGGTGCTCGGCCAACGGAGTTCATAAGTTCGTCGCAAGAGAAGTTGCGGCAGGTGCAGTTGTGCAGTTGCGACAGGTGGTGCTCCGTCAGCGGAGTTCGCAAGTTCGTCACAGGAGTTGCAGCAGGTGCAGTTGCGACAGGTGGTACTCGGCCAGCGGAGTTCGCAAGTTTTTCGCATGAGATTTTGCGGGGCAGGTGCAGTTGCGACAAGTGGTGCTCGGCCAGCGGAGTTCGCAAGTTTGTCGCAAGAGTTGATGCAGGTGCAGTTGCGATATATGATGTTTAGTCAACCAAATTCGCAGGTTTGTCCGGGATAAATTGTAACAGGTGGAGTTTGGCTGGTGTCTGCAGTATTTCAGTCGAATTTTTGTGCGAACAAGAAAGGTGTTTCGTGTGAAAAAAATTTGATTCATGAATCACAAGAAACTGCGGGAAAATTGTTGCAATTGACATGAAAATTTCAGGTTTATTTGATTTTCTTTGCGGTGTGGATTTTCTTTGACGCAAAGCATGAAAAGTTCACTGCATAATTAATTTTAAATGACAATGTCTGGTATAAAATTTGAGGTAATGAAGTTCAATGAAACAGAGAACTTTAAATTGTGGCAAACAAGGGTGAAAGATTTGTTGGCACAACAAAGAATTTTGCAGGCATGGTATTATCTATAAACTGTTGCGGAGTCCAGTTGTATGTGGAGTTAACTCTGTCAGATCATATAATGAAAATGCAGCGGAAAGTTGAACAAGTCAGGTATTTTCAACAAGTCCTTGCGTTACTTGAACTTGTTGAATGTTTGTAGTTGTTAGTTGGCATGGTTGCCCAATCCACTTTTGTGTAAGAAACTTCATGATATTTTTCTCCTAAGGAGCTGAATATTCGCAAGGTGGAGATTTTTACCTAAAGGGTTAGATATTCGCCAAGGTAGAGATTGTTAGGTATGGCTCATATACCAAGAATTTGGAGTCTCTTGGATTTGGAGATGTGTGTCTCTTGGATTAGTGGGTTGGGGGGAGCGAGGACATGTTTGTAATTATCTGTGTGTTTTATCTATAAATAGATGTGTAACCCTATGGGTATGTAACTCCTATGAAATAGTGAAATTCGCCGCTCTACTCCCGATGATGCAGACATCTTTGTCGAACCACGTAAATCTGTGTTCTTTTGGTGTGAATTTTCTCGTTCTATTTTTTCGCTTCGTCATCGATCATTTTATATTTAAATTTCAAATATACCACAACATTCCCTCACAGTCAATTCGTAAGGAACGCTTTCCCTAGAGCGATCGAATGTCTCTGGTCGTGAATAGTTCTTTGTAGATATCGAACGTCGTTGTTCTTTGTTTTTTTTCTTCCTTGACCGAAGAGCAAGTATTTTCGTCTTCTTCATTTTATTTTTAACTTGAACAATGCGAATGGTTCTTTGCCCTAGAATTCCTCTTGTTTTTTGTTGGGTGTGAAGAAAAGTGTGGAGAATGAATTCCTTATATCGGGGTCGAATTTCGTTTTGATTTTTGTAGCTCGTTTCGATTTTTGTTGGTTGTTGCATGACCGAAAAAATGATTTTCTTCTTCTTCTTTTTATTTCAAGTCGTCTTTTTATTTCAAGTTTCTTCTTCTTCTTTTTATTTCAAGTCGAAAAGCAAGGATTTTTTCATGGCGTGAGGAATAATTTGTGAGCCCCTTATAGAAGGAATGAAAGGCTTAAGAGTTGTCTATGAGCTACTATAAATTCTTGTTTTTCAAGTTTATGAGTTGTTGTTTGGGTTGCAAGTAATTCCTGCTTATAGGAAACATGGGTATGAGCTTGGTTAATTAAAATGTTGTTATTAATTCCTGCTTATGAGCTGCATATTTATGTATTCATTGCAATCCCCATTGGTGGCAAATGCCATCGTCCTTAGTATGGATTATGCCTTTGATGCAAGTTATGAAAATTGATTTGATTATTTGTAAAATGTATAACCAAAGGAGACATGTACATCTAGCTTGGCTTCGTTCAAAAAAGCAAATCTTGATTTGGTTATAAATTGAAGATTGTGGCTTGGTTCATGACAATCCATCTCAAATCATTACTATATTGTTTATTCTCCTATAGTAGCTTAATAGCTTGTATTTCTAATGTTTCAAACCTATATCTACCTTGTCATTGAGAGGATTCAATACTCTTATCTTTCGTTTTATGTTAAGAATGACAATGGTTATAACATTGGGGAGTTAAATACATACAAAATAGCAATGTTTGTTTGGTCTTTCTGATACAGGGATCCGAATTTACTGGTTGTACCTGCTTTTGGTTTATTGTTCATAAGCATATGTGAGGCTTTGTGTTTTATATTAGGCTTTCAAATGGCATTTATGCGACTTTCAACTTTTATATGAAACATTTTTCAGACTTTTCTAGCTGTCAAAATGCGAAACAGAAGAGAAAAACTGGCATTCGGTTTTTAGCATACAAGAAAAGGGAGGAATAATGAAAACATGTTCTATTTTTATTTGTTAGTTGTGAAACTTTTATTATCACCAAAGGGATAAAATGGAGGAAGAATTGCATATTGTAGTGTTCTCCCTTAAGATTTATAGTTATGTAACCTTACACAATTGCATAATAAAACATGTTTGATGTCTTACCGTGAATATAGGTCTTTGACTGAACCACATAATTCTTTTGTGCCCTTATATATATATATATATATATATATATATATATTTGAGCAAATAGCTACTCTGTTGTTTGTATTTGTGGCAAATCCTTTGAAAGTTGTGTCAATGTGATTATTTGGAGACTATTGTTGTTGTTGGCTTGCTGTTGTTGTTGGTTTGTGTTGTTGTTGTCTTGAGATTCATAATTATAAGCTTTGTGCATTCAGCTATATGAATTTTTTTATGCAATATGGAATTTTTCATATAGTTTCATCATGACTAAGACAAGTGAAGGTGGTCCGTCAGCGATGTGGGATAAGGAAGTTACCAATATTTTCTGTAATCTCTGCATCACCGAGATTGAGATCGAGAAGAGGCCAACCACCTATTTCAACAAGGAAAGTTAGCAGAATATAGCTAAAAGGTTTAAAGAACTGACTGGAAGGGAATATGACAGGCTGAAGTTTAAAAATAAATGGGATCAATTAAAGGAGTGAAAAATTTGGAAGGAGCAGAAACGTGGATCCACGGGATTGGGTTGGGATCTCATTTAACGGACAATTCATGCTCCAGATGAATTGTGGACCAAGAAATTAGAGGTAAATTTGTCATTATCATTTTGTTTATTACAAATATTTCTGATTTATCAATTATCACCCCTAAACCCCCTTCTCAATGTAATGT